TTAATTCCAAAACGAACTACGAAAGGCTTGATCCCCTCAAAAGGGTACGTAGGCAGCCTTCACAAGGCGCAGCCCTAATCGTAAACACATTCCGCTCCCTGGAGAATGGAAAGATCACTCTCAACGGACCTTTCCAACCATTAATTCCGCCAAATTTAACTAAAACTGGCAAACCACTCGCAAGAACCTTACGCTAGAAGCTCAAGATTCTAGCGGGCTGGGGGGCTAACTGTTGGTGTCAAAATCGGTCACGACGGAATCAATGGCTAAAAGTCTCCGCAAAAGATCGTTTTATAAAACTCGAGAAATCGTTTTATAAAACTCGAAAGATCGTTTTATAAAACTCGAGAAATCGTTTTATAAAACTCGAAAGATCGTTTTATAAAACTCGAGAAATCGTTTTATAAAACTCGAAGAATTGTTTTAGAAAACTCGAAGAATCGTTTTATAAAACTCAAGAAATCGTTTTATAAAACTCGAGAAATCATTTTATAAAACTCAAGAATCATTTTATAAAACTCGAAGAATCATTTTATAAAACTCGAGGATCATTTTATAAAACTCGAGATTCGTTTTATAAAACTCGAAGAAACGATTTATAAAACTCGAAGAATCGTTTTATAAAACTCGAGAATCATTTTATAAAACTCGAGGATCATTTTATAAAATTCGAAGAATCATTTTATAAAACTCGAGAATCATTTAATAAAACTCGAAGAATCGTTTTATAAAACTCGAGAATCGTTTTATAAAACTCGAGAATCGTTTTATAAAACTCGAGAATCTTTCATAAAACTCGAAGAATCGTTTTATAAAACTCGATAATCATTTTATAAAACTCGAGAATCGTTTTATAAAACTCGAGAATCGTTTTATAAAACTCGAAGAATCATTTTATAAGACTCGAGAATCATTTTATAAAACTCGAGGATCGTTTTATAAAACTCGAAGAATCGTTTTATAAAAACTTGAAGATTCTTTTTATAAAATTCAAGAATCGTTTTACAAAACCGCGAAAAACCGAAACCGCCGTAAAACGCGAACTAGTCCCATCTCGACTAGTTCGCCCACCGGTGAACTAAGCCAAGCTGTCTTAGTTCTCCAATGGGATAACTATTCCCGTCCCGGCTAGATCGCCTTTGGGCGAACTAAGAGGTGCTGACTTTGCCCCACTGGTTCTTTTCGCCTAGTTCGCCATATGGCGACCTAGCCAAGCTAAATTAGCTCGCCGTACGTCGAGCCGACCATCCCGAGCCTCGATCTCCCACATCCTTGATTCAAGGCATACGTTCTTCGCACGATCGTATTCCGAATCACGGTCGAAAAGTCTCCCGTTTCGTCTCGATCCGTCCTATCGTTCGAGTTTTACGATAAAAACCGTAAAACTTTGTTTTCTCGAAAAGAACTCGAGGAAATCGTATAAAACGGCAACGGTTAAACAAAACACCAAATATTTCTTAAACTATACGATTTATTCCAGATTTTTCGTAAAAATCGTACAAAACGCGATTTTAATAAAACCCCGAGTAAATCGTAGAAGACGGTAACGATTAATCGAAACATCGAACATTGCTTAGCTTTACGATTAACTCGAGAAACTTATCTAAAAACGGCATCGTATCAGGAAATGATCTCGTCTAAAGTCGTAAAACGGATTTATTGCAAAACGGCTCGGAAAGTCATAAAACGCGATAAAAGCCACTCGCGACTCTAAACGAAGTCCAACCCGAAGATACGACGACGTTATGGCGATTTACCCGCAGAAAGAAGATAAATGTCAAACTTGAAGATAAATGTCAAGTTTGAGGATAAATAGAAGATTTCCGCGGGAAAAAAGGAAAGATCGAGATAAATGGAAGATTCCCATTAAACTCGAATCTGGGCGAAATGGAACGACTAAACCGCCTAGGAAGGGAGTATATAAGCAAGAGGCATAGGGCAGAAGCAAAGGGACGAATTTCAGAGCTCTCATCTGAGACTTTTACAACTTTTCTAGACTTAGAATTTTCCGCACTTAGAAACTTAGGCTTTTTCTCGACAAGTTCGGTTTCTATGACTGGCGCTCAATTACTAGACGAACTCGCCCAGGCAGT